GGTGCGCGTTCGACGTATCTAGTTACGCTGGTTCCTCTACCCCCACTCCGTCCCCACCAATCAGGTCGCCGCGAGCCGCGGGCACCGCGCCCGCGCCGCGGCGGCGATTCAAATCACGGAAAACTGTGATATATCGAATGTTTATTTAATGCATATGTGCTTCGGGGAATTTATACGGAATACCGTATATCGCATTCGATAACATTGACTTTCGATTCTTTCCGATGATCGGACTCGCTTTTCTCAACCGTCAACTTGACTCGCGTCGTGTCGCGCGTCGCGCGGTGAAAATGAATTTATCGTCGTTTTCGAAATACGGATAAAAAATATGAGCGCACTCGAAATCGAGTAATGCTGCGACGTGTTTAATTATTATTGGCCCCATTCTGACATCGATGCTCGATAAAGCTACGTATCATTAGGTCCAGGAAATTGATTAATGGTACGGATTGAATAATCATAAGATGTGATAATTCACTTACGAGATAATTCACTCGTTTACGCGGAGTAAATTATCGTAAGTTACTACAAAATCCCGTTTAAGCAAAGGAAAATCCCTTACGCGAAGGAATTATAGTAAGTTACTACAGAAGTAACGCTCGCGTAAACGTAGTAACAGTCGATTATTCTCCTCGCGCTTGAAGAATAATCGAGTGTGCGTTGTCTATTTTTCTTACGGCCTTACGATTAAAACTAAAACTTTGTTACGTGCAATGGCCTTAATAGAAACTGTACTCGCCAATTAAATACGTCGCGCGTCGCGGGGCGTCACTCGATTTAGCGGGTGCGTTCGTATACCCTTTATATCGGTGTTCCGAAAACGACGGCAACTTCATTCCGAAGCCGCGCGACACGACGCGAGGTCGCGAGGGTCAACGGTTGAGAAAAGTGAGACCGATTATCCGGAGAAATGTAATGGCAAGTCAATTTATCGAATGCGATATACCTTTCGGTATCCGTATAGATTATAAATTCCGCGAAGCCGCGGCCACATCATTGGCTGAAACACATCTCGTCCTTGATCTCGTTAGTCACGTCACGATCGCAGAACGGCTGCGAGCGGAGGGGAACGCGATAGAGAACAGATATTTTGTATTTCTAGATAATAGAGGAATAAAACACGGCGCGGAAAAGACGAGCCTTTCTTTTATAGGTTTTTAAGTAGGATATTGTTACTGTGTGCAGATTCTCTCATGAAACGCGAAGGGGTACTCGGTCAGAAGACGACAAAGGACGGGAAGCGGGAAGCAGGGAACAGAAGAATGAATAAGAAGGAAAACAGTGCTCGCTCACGTAGACGCCAGAACGTGTGTTTCGAAATGCGAGAGGATGCCAACCGAGACGAGATCAAAAGTCTTTCGTCCGTGACATCAAAATCTAAATTTCAAGATTGTATATAGCTCCGGCTCGTAACGAGGGAGTTCAAATTCCGGTAAAACGCAAAAAAATGAGATGATAATAATATAAATGATAAATATAATAAATTATTATATTATTAGAAAACGAGACGTCGCCGTATAATTTCAATCGCGTCATCGACTGGACGACATCGCGCGATGTCCTCCCGCTCCCGGCCCTCCTCGTAGACACCCCCAATGGATCGCGCTTAAATCTGGAGTAAGTGGTGAGTAAGTGATCCATATATAGAAGCGCCCCCACGTTCCACCAACACGTACGCGCACCTGTCATGCATATATACGCAGCGCGGCCGCCGTGGAGCGCACTTTTTGTGCTTGAGCTTGAGCTTGCGGCGGGAAGGCTCTGCGCAACGACGCGAGGAAAATAATTTTCCGGTGAGGAGGCCCGAGACAAGAGAGAGAGAGAGAGAGACCTGAGTTACGCGGATCCGCCATGCCTGGACGCCCACTCTGGCAGGTAAGTGACGCGTCATTTCTCGAAATCGGACCGCGATAAACAGGGCGTCGTATCGCTGCGTCTCCCTTCTCTCTAATCGTGTCTGATTTTCGATTCCAATTCGCAATTATTATTTCATTACGCTATTATTTTATTACCGGAGACACATACATTTTATCCCATAAATTATATTGTGAATCTGAATATCATTTTGCAATTAATATTGTAATATTCTACGACACACACATGTGCAGTTGTTTCTTAAATTAAAGAACCTCTGTTTACGAATTATTAAATGCTTGGCATTCAATTAAAATAAATATTACAAAAGTCCTACGTGATACATATCTGTATTAATTATAATGATTTACGTGAAATTAATGAATTTTATGTTGAGCTATATCACAATATCACGATTTTTACATATTGCTTTTATAGGTGCGTTTTAAACTTTGCTTGAAAACATGAGCGTACATTGTGTGATAACGTAAATGACAATAGAGTACTTCTGTGTAAAATAATAGCACGAATATTGATAAGATTAAAGTTATGAGAGAGAAAATTACAGAAAAATATTAGGAAAACTTGAAAGACTTGTTCTTCTCTTTATTCTTCTGAAATATAAACCGTGCGTGCGTAACAAATCAAGGCTTAAAAACGTGTGGTGAAAATTAATTAATACAATTAATTTCGTCTTATCATCTTGCGAGGGTGAAATTTCATAAAATCGCACATCGCGTAAACAAGATTCCTCGATATACTGCTCTTATAATATATTTTTAACACCTTCTGAAAATTTGAAGCAGCTTTTCTATTTCGAAGCTCTGACTCATACGTCAATCTTATACGAGACTTCCGTCGATTCGCGCATTAAGGCGCTCTTAATTCAGAATACGCTTTTAACGTTATGAATCATCAACGGAAATTTATCGTCGATCATGCTTCCTTTAAGCAAGCAAATAATTTTCGAAAGTAAGTATCGAACGATAAAATTGAGATGAGCGCAATCGTTTTCTGGTATCAAATTTCAGAGTAAGCAAATCTTTATGCAACACTATGTGAATCGCGCGTTATAGTATATATAATTAATAATGCGGTAAAAGCGTATAGTAATAATAATTACATGATAATAAAAACTCTTTTGAAATACTAGTAATGTACTATTAATTGATAACAAGAAACTGAAACACGTAAGAATTCCTTTCTCACGATAACGTCGGTTCCGTTTTGAAATAAGTGACATTCCGTGACCCGGGTCCAGCAACGGTCGCCGCGTGTGCCACGGCGATCCAGAAATAAACCGAAAGGCACTCGGATTTGCCAAGGAAAGCAAAAGTTATAGGAATTAAATTTTACCGTGCCAGAAACACGCGCGTACGCTCATTAGCTTCCACGAAAAACCCAGAAAAGCGTGTCGCGGATGACGTGGTCGCGAGTTCCCGATTTATTTACAAACATTAGTAGATATTTTTATACCCGCGTGGGTGAGAAGATAAGCATGACGTGACGCTGCGATGGAAGATAGACCGCGGCGTAAGGCAAGAAAATTTTCCGTCGATTCGATATACCGCTCTCCAACCATATTTCTTTCTAGTAATCAATATTTTTATCG